GGTAAACACCGGTAAAAAAGTTGACAATAAAAATAACCGTCCAGTTTTTAAAAAACTATATTATCTCGGTGGGTTTACCGTGGCCGCGGTTTCGGCGCGATGACCCTTACCAGCCACCGTCGCTTCAGCTGAAGTTCCCGCGGCGCGCACACGCACTTTTTAGTTTGCAACGGCACCAAAACTTTGAAGCTGAAATAATGGCCGAAGGAGGAGACGGCAGCGCCCAGGACATCCATCCGCCCTCAAAGAAGACTAAATCGGAAGCATGGGCATATTTGGGATTTCTGAAAAATGCTGAGGGACAGCTAATAGAAGACTGCTATCCCGTTTGCAGAACGTGCAGGAAACAAGTGTCTGCAAAAGGTAACACTTCGAATCTAATGGCACATCTGCGTGACCATCACCCACGTCTCTACAGCCAGTGCAAGGTAAGTTAACATTAGCATTTTAGCTTAAATGCATGACGTGAGGACTTTTGGTTGAGGGAGAATGCAACGAGTCACTATATACTGCAGCCGCAGCGTCCTCTGCCAGCATTTAAACCGTGTCACGGACACCCTGTTGCTGGATGAAGCATCTTATTTGTTGATGATGAAGAGAAATATACAATTAGTTCCTTGTCATTGATTTGTTTACTTATTCAATGCCATTTATACTTGAACATTTGGATTTGATTACATAGTGTAGTAGTTATTTTAGTAATTTGTTTAAAGTGGCTATTTGTTTTAAATACATATTTTTTAAGGTTGACTTGTACAGTGCTCAAGTCAAGTGTGGACTGGAGTTTTAGATTTTCATTTTGATAATGAAGAAAACAAGTATATGAGAAAACAAGTGGTGTTTCTTTGATTTGTTTACATATTGTTTATGTTTTGAATGTTTGGATTTGTATAATTTAAACCTGCACTGACTACTGTAACATGTTCCAGAAAAATAAGCTATTTGTTCCTTTACTTGTGAAAAGTTGCACTTTTGCTAAGGCTTTGTGTTATTTTAGGTTTAATAAACACTGTTAAACATTTTCAAAACTATTTCAGTTTGTGTAGAACAGGACTATCAATGCTTTCTGAACATATGCAACACCGTTTAAAAAATACCGCGATAATACCGAAAACCGTGATAATTTTGGTCACAATAACCGTGAGGTTAAATTTTCATACCGTGACAACCCTACTCAGGGCACAATCAAGACAAAAATAAATAAACAAGATGATCACTAAAATAACTCCTGATTCCCAGTATAAAAAGACCAATATACTTATAGCTCATAGTTATGACCCAAGGGCTATAGACCTTGGTTTAACTCATTTAAGTCTAACCAGTACAGACCCAAATACCAATATCTTGCAAACACTGACAGCAAGAATTATACAGTGGCATTTATAACAAATAAATTAATGTTCACAAAATGTTGCATAACATTTATTTAGTCATGTCAAAATGCTGTAGGAGCGTGCACTAGCACCGTGTCCTCAGAGATTAGTTATTATTTATTAGCGTGAGGAACTTATTTCTACCTTATTTATAAACTATTTATTTACAAGTCCATCAGTTAATGTAATAACTGTCCCAACCACAGCGACACCCCCCACCCAGTCTCACAGCAATCAGTGGCAAGCTGCACGTGTGTTTAGCACGCCGCACGCGCACATTTAGCCGTTTTTTAGCAGCTCAGGAGTCCGCAGGTGCGGTGTGTGTGTCACTCACTCTGGTTAATCCAACAGGGAGCCGGCTCTGAGAGCCGTTTCTTTAGCGACTGACACATCACTACATCATTCCCTTTCCTAATGTCCTAAAGAACGGCCGGGAGCGCAGGCGGAGTGTTTAGCTAACCTGCAGGAAATGTTGACGACAGTTATCCAGAAAGTAGCTAAGGGTTACCAGAGATGTTTCTGAGGTGTTCGCTAGGTACTTTTAAGATTTAAAAAGTCAAGAAGGGGGCCTGAAAAGCTGTTAGAAATGGCGTCAAAGTCGCTAAGCTGGCAACACTGTGGGAGGAGCGCTTCATTTGCAACTCAGGGCAGCGCAAGTGGGAGGAGCAAATAATCGGCTTGTTTTGTTTTAATAATCGTTTAAAATTCAGATTATTGGGATTGAAATTCCATTAAATGAGCAGCCCTAGCAGCAGGGGGAAGAATCTAATTATGAAGTTTGTAGAGCAGAACTACAGAACATTGGGCAACATGCAGAAGTTCAAATCTGTGGTTAAACAAAAAGTATGAAGTTCAAAACCAGAACAAATCTCTCTAAATCATTTATTATTTCAGTTGCTGCTCCATTTTGCCTACCACTGAGAAGTTCCCACACTAAACCTATACCTAAAAATAAAACTGTCAACACTGGAAGTCCAAAGAGCAAAATACTTTTAAATGGCCCAGCAGGAAGCCGGCATAGACTTTGAGCAGGTGACACGCTCCACATTCCCACCCAGCAAGGTCACACAGTGAGAAACTGGACGTTAGCCAGTATGTTTATGCGCGTGAGAGAGTGAGTGAATGTAAGAACTGTGTCTGGCAACGAGGCAAAGACAACAGATGCCTGTGAGTTCCCATCAGGGCTGCAGACACTGACCTCGCTTTCAACCAAACAAATACAAAGTCTCTGACCCAAAACAAACAAGCTGCACGTGCTGCAGGAATTTCAGTGATCCCAGTCACGCTACACATGGCCTGTCTGAAACTTACAAAGCCACATGTTCAGGCTGATAGCAGAACTTCAGCCTCATTCAGACTCCACGGTTCAACAAGCAGCACTTCAGACAGAGCACAAAACCAGCTGAAAACCACAAGTATCAGAGCAGCTGACTGATAACAGCTTTCTATTAAACCACCAGGAAGTGTGGGGACACCACATTCAGCCTGCAGACCACTTAACACCAATGGATGTCAATGTGGTTGAGCTGCATCAGGACCAGAAGGGTTTTATTGCCATTTGTGCGAGAAATCACAACATTAGGAGACTGCTGCGGTACAAAGAGAGAAATGAGATGAGCCAATATAGGGAATAATATAATTGCAAAAAAATATGAAGTTGCAATAATTCGAGCTACTGCTACTATTTTCAAGACAGTGTGGAAGCCTTCCTCTGGACAATATTAATACTGTAAAAATGCTTCTATGTTGGGTGCATCTCTTCAAGCCTTATCACATAATTTGGACTTCGAAAATAAATCAAAGCGAATATTTTGACTATTATGAGAGGAGTGAAACAAACCTCGGGCCTGGGATTTATTTACCAGACAAATCTGCCGAGTGTTTTGGCAGAATCTTTAAAAACTTATCTAACCTGAAAATGATAGAATCTGTGCAGAAACATTCAAATTAGGGATGCAACGATACCACTTTTTTCCAAACTGATACGATACTGATACTTGGATCAGAGTACTCGTTGGCACAGATTACCAATACTGATACTTCTACCACACAAAAAAATGCAACGATTTGGAATACAGATTTTATTTTCTGCTCTGCTTTCAACAGGAAAAGACAGTGAGGCAGATAAGAAAAATATATGAATGGAAATAAAAACTAAAATATTAGGTGAACAGAAATGACAAGTTACAGTGAAGCCATTTTCAAGCAACTGCATTATTATCGGTTCCTGATATCGGTTAACTTTTACCGATGCCAGTTTCGTATTGGTGCATCCCTAATTAAAATGTCTTAATGGGAAGATCTGAAGCAGCCCTCAATGCAGTTTATGATAAATAATCAATGTGAGGACCGGCGGTCAATAAGGTGCCCTGCATGTGTAGCACTAGATCTAAATGTGAAATAACTCAGAGCTTTTCTAAACACAACCTGACACAGAAACGGCTCCACACACCAAACGTGTGGCTCACAGCCGGTCTCACAATAAATTGGTTACATAATTGGGCACTCAGGCTGAGCAGAGCCTGGACTTTGAAGTGACAGCACCCCCTCCTCTAGAGGGCCACGTGCTCTGGTCTGCCAGCCTGCTGTTCCATCTGACACACTGAACCTGTGACATAGAGCCTCTGCAGGACTGCCTGGGACAATGACAGAAGTACAACACAGGAGTGTAGCGTAGTGACATGTCCTAGCGCACGTGCCCTCATAGGTAAAGGTAAACGAACACTTAACTCAGCATTGAAACAACAATCACAAGAAAGGGAAAACACTGATTCTGACACACACATCTACAGTCATTTCCCCCACTTGCCTTAGGTACAAACCCTTCATGTTACTATGATGAAGCAGAGAGGCAGCGCGGGAGTAAAAAAGCTTCATCTCAAACGAGGATGCTAAACCAGCCAAACAGCTTAAAATCGGTCCTGTAAAACCACCTCAGTAACCCGCACACAGAAAACCATTCTGGTTAAAGATGTAAAAATGACATCAACATAAGTCTGGTGATAACACCTGAGTATTTACGGTTTAAACAACACATTTGCCTGTATATGAAAAAAAACTGTTTACATTAATCACAAATTCCAAACATATCAAACACAAGACACCTGAAGTTATTTAACTGTAGAAGCGTACATGAGAAAACAGCTCCGAGTATAAACACGTGAACTAAACGCTCATTTGCTCTAACGTGTCCTCTTCCTCCACGCAATGCTCCACTGTTGACATTTCTAATGGCACAGATGCCACCTGAACTGAGATCACCAGCGCCACCCTGTGCCTTGTCCTCTGCAACTACGCCAACACAGGCCCCATCCTGACAAGACTATACAAAATGTCGGAGTCGCTCATGTCACGTGACTCCTTTGTACTCTGAAAACCTTTTTACACACAAACAACCCGGAAAAACCTGGAAATTTCATCCAAAATAGATTAAGTGAGACCTGCTTTTCCAAAAAGATGGTTAAAGTCCAACATATTAACAGTTTGCAACGGAAATCTGTCGTGTTTCTCCCGAGAAAATAGGCCGCCATTTTGTGAAAGCTTGCGCAGGAAAAAAAGAGGCGCCACAGAGCTTATAAAAATAAAACGAAGCTTAAAATGTCAAAAATTGAAACTATAAAAGCATACCGATTCTTCTTCTTTCTCCATCCCCGTAGGCATCTGCGGCACTGCCCGGTTAATTGATGCATATTCGTGTAAGTCGGGTAAATCCTCACAACGGAAGACGGGTAGTGGCTTGGAAGCGTCCAGCGCCCGTGCCCGAAACGACAATTTACTCATTTTTTTCACAATTCGAGATGAAATATAAACCTATCCGATCTCCTAATATTCACAACGGTACCGACTGGAGCTTTCATGGATGGTTTCTGTGCGGGTAGTCTCTAACGTTCGAATGGTTGTAGCTCGTATTTAGGGCGTCGCCAGCGGAGCCGGGGGAAGGCCCGGATCTTGGTCGCTCGCTCTCGGACTGTTTTTTTCAAACGCTCCGCTCCCTATCGGTGGTTCAGTGCGCCATGGACAACATGGCGGACATTTAAAACTCTTTTGCTGTGTTTCGCTCGGAGCTGTCCAACCCCCAGTCCGTGGTCCAACCATTCCCACTCGGTCCCGAGCGCTTGCGCGGTGCCGGGGATGGGGGAAGGGGGCATTTGTAGCAAACTAACTCCTCTCCACACATAAATTATTGAAATAAACGCCGGGAACGGCCAAAACTACCGGAATGGATAAAAAAATAAAATAAAATTCCAGATCCGACCAAAATTTCAACTAAAATAAAAGAGACGTAATCACAAAATATTTAAAAAATAAAAATAAAATAAAAATCCAAAAGGAACATTTACGATATTAAAGCAAAAACCGAAACATAAGAAAAAAATGCATACAATGTTTTTAAATTTACTAAATATAGAATATAAAAATAGAAATAGAATTGTTAAAATAACAAACATAATATAAAACGATTTATTTTAAGATACTTAAATTCTGTAAAATTTAAACAAATGCTTGAAAATCACATTAAACTTAGAAACTATATCAACTCTTTTCAGATAAATTTATGACATTTTACACATTTAAATAAAACGTAATAGTTTAATGAATAAATGTATTTAAAATCCCATAATTTACTCATTTGAACTAAAGTAGATTTCTCTGCATCTAATCTATGAACCTTTATTTAAAAGTTCAGCTATGCACACATCATACTAAATATATTCTAGTTAGAATGTTCAGCTAGATTTTAGTGCTTTAATGAAAATCTGAAAGAACAAATAAGTAGAAATCTACATGTTAAAACCCAGAGAGGTAAAACTGTTCCTGCCCATTGAACCATAACTGACCAGTAAATAATAAAGATGCTGAAACCAGGTAAAAGGTGTACAATGCTGCCTCCTTCTGGATCTACATACAAATGAACCAAAGTGTTTGCATGAATGTCAAACATCCAACACACTCAATCACACTTAAACCAGCTCTGAAGGATTTCAGTGCACTCTGGGATCATGTTATCTTAGAGACACAAATATCTAAATGCTTAATCAGAGTTTCCTTTGAATTTGACATTAAAAATCACCATACCCATTTCTGCTGAGGCTACTGAGGTCATCCAGGGTCCAAGCAGATGCAATATTTTTTTCTTTCCATTGTTAAATCCACAAAATGTGCAGTTACCTGTAAAAAAAAAGAGGGGACAAAGAAACAATTTAAAATATATATATGATGCATTTACACAAATAAAAATACTAGGGCTTTTCAGGACATAAAACTAATGAGGTATGGAGGAGTAAGCTTGAGTGGAGAAACAAAACTACTGTACGCCACCTGGGCTAACTGGAAAAAGAGAAACAACAAAAACCACAGCTGTTGATGGGTAGTAAAGCAACATGTTCGGTTACAAAAACAAATATCCAGGGTAAATTCTCTACAAACAATTAGACTGTACATCACCTGCTCCATCGGATAGGGGAGTTTTAGTTAGTTGACAGAAACTGGGTCCCACTCTGGCTAGCTGTTAGCTTGACTTCTAAATGTGAAATCCTCCAAATTAGGATCACTGACAGTCTACTTTATTACTTTTCATTCTGAAAGGAATATTTAACAGATGCTTGGGGCTGCATGGCGACTCAGATGATAATACCGCTAACCTCAGTAAAAAGGTCACAGGTTCAAATCCCAGCAGTGGCCTTTCTGCATTTCTAGCATGTTCTCCTCATGCAGTTTCCTCCCACAGACAAAAGCATGCATGCTGGGGACAATCCAAGCAACCCAAGCTGTTTTTACAGGATCATAGCGTTTGCAAAACGGGATTTGCCGCGGCTCCCTGGGGAGGAGTTTGGCATTTATATTAGCAAAGCTGAAGCTAGAATAAACTGCCATCAGGCACCTCTCAAACCAAGACGGGATAAAGGGAGGTCGCTAGGCGGCCCCCCCGCATGTGACGTACAGGGTCGTGCATTCAGCGTCAGACAGAAGACACGTCAGACTGGTTACATTTCTTTTTCAGGACCTTTAGCGTTGATGTGACCCGCTTTTTGTCCCGCTTGACGCCCCGCTCAGTCAGTGTTTTCACCACTCTGTTGAACAGCTGGCTGTCTCTCACAGTCCCCGTAAAATGGTGACTAATCTCTTCGTCCGCTCGCACAGCTGACACGTGTTTAGCCGTCAAAGATGATGGGCTCATGCGGCAATATTACTACGAAGCTAAGCGCATCAGAATCACGTTTTATCACCTTTCACCTTTGCTCCTTGCCACATTTACGAGACCCACAAATTCGGATTCATTACTCTGTAATGACGCAATGGTCTATCTTATAAAAGAGGCTCTAGAAGTGAGCATGAATGATTGTCTCTGAAGGACCTTCAGGGTGTCCCTAGCCTCCTTCCCAGTGACTGTATAGATATAGTTGTCCATACTGTGTGTCACACAGGCCTCCAGGTCAATTTATATTTTAGCTGAGTAGTTGTGTTTGTTGGCGTCTAGTATCCATCAAATCACTTTCTACACCAAACACTTGATTTCACCTGGAAGTTTCTCATGACGACGATTGCCAGAAGTGAAACTTGACTTTAAAATGTGTCACTTAAAGGATTTTTAAGACTTATTTTTAGGTAATACAGTTGTATATGCACGCTGAAGGGGAAAACGGTCTTTAACCCTCATTGCTTGCATTTGCCACAAAAAGAAAATAGACAAGGAAATGCTCTGGTTTAGAGCTGAAACAACTAATCGATTTAATCGATTATAATCGATTATTAAAATAGTTAACAACTTTTTTAGTCATCGATTAGTTGTTTAATAATCATATTTTACCGCATGAAGTCTATTTTTACCACAATCTGACATCGGTTACAAGCTGTTAAATTTGCCGCCAGTGTGTGGCAGTAATGAGCCACTGATCTACCAGTGGAGCCGTAGAAGAAGAAATGAGCCAATGAGTGCCCTCGGTTTTCATGACGTATCACGTTACTGACGCTCATCTTGCTGTGAGAGATGGCGGAACAAGAGGAAATACGGAAGAAAAATAGAAGTGACAAAACTGAAGAGAAACCCCGGACAAAAACCTCACGAGTATGGGAGCACTTCACTCTAGATGCCTTGAAAAGACGGGTGACCTGCAAAATATACAAAAACCATCTAGCATGGCACGGAAGCACGACGTCCCTAAGTGAACATTTGAGACGAAAACATGTGGGGGCTGATGCAGCAGAGGAAGAGCACCGCGGTCAAGTGAGCCATCATTTGGAAGAGCCAGCCCGGTAAGTAACAGAAAATAAACAAGGTGGACTTAGTGTTTTAGCTTAGTTTGTTATAGTGGATGTTAAACATGTTTTTTGCCGCGTCAGTCTACGATGTTCTACTTCTGATTGACTAGATGCCATCGTGAATCTCCTCCGTGTTGTGTATCATGCGCTTGCCAAATTCAGCACGTCTGTTTATAAGAATGTTCTCGTTAAGAGAAAAACGGCACAAACCCATAACTATGTTCCTCATTCAAAAAAGGACAACTCCGCGGAGAAAAATATACAGACGAGCTGTGTCCAGGTGAATATAACGCGGCATAGTTGTACGCTTTCAATTTTTAAATATAGGAGAAATTCAGAAAGTCATTTTTTACTATTAAAAGGCTGTTTTACTATCTAACGCTGTAAAACGCCTCACAACACATTTTTATCATGTTTCTTAAACAGTATTACACAAAATAAACATTTTTCACATTTTTCTAGCTAATTTAAACACTCCCGACTCAAAGTAAAAACCTCATGAGCTTCTTACTTAGAGCTTTTTAATAGTAAAAAAATTAGACTTTTCTGAATATCTCCTGTTGCGGGCTATTTTGTAGAACGTAACCCTCAAAATAAATGATCACTGTATATTGTTGATTAATTCAAATAATATATCGATTTAGTGTTGTAGTGTGTGTGCTGCTTTATTTTATATGTGTACTTATTTCAGTCTATTTGTGTTTCTTATGCAGAAAAAAAAAACAAGCAACGATGGACAACTACATGGGGAACAAGACACTCACCCCCCAGCAATTCATACCACTTACAAACTCTATTCTAAACATGCTGGTAAAAGACATGAGGCCACTATCCATGGTGGAAGGAGCAGGCTTCCAGCTAATGCTAAAAAATTATTCTGGACTGATATTTTGCACTGTTTAGCTCATTTTATACTGCTGACTGTGTTCATGTGCAATAAAATAGATTGCAGTCAACTGCACAATTCTCTTATGTTTTTTTTTCTTAACTGAAATGCATCCATCACTTGTATAGGTTAAATAGCTAAACAATAACAAACCGATTAATCGATTAATGAAAAATAATCGACAGATTAATCGATTATGAAAATAATCGTTAGTTGCAGCCCTACTCTGGTTGGAAAAAGCCAGTCACTTTTGTCATTTTCCGCCCCATTGAGAGGAGAGCTCTGTCCGTGGGAGACGTAGGAGAGTAAAGATAGATTTATGGTCCTCCGTCTGCTTGAGGGCAGAGTAATGCACACGCATTGACCAACATGCTTTCCTTTCAGACTTTTCTGTCACCCGGGGAGCTTTGCAAAGCCAGGACAACAGAGGGCGTAGTGCTTTTCTGGGGGTATCCTGCTACCATTGCAGTCACATCTCTGGTCCAAGATGGTGCATATACTATTGGATGTTGTGTTAATCCTGCACCCACACACTGCAATGAAGGGTTGTACACAGCCAAGCCAATGGGACAGAATGGCTCAACATATGTGACGTGGTGACCAATCACAGGCATACGGTCTCCATCGCTTTGACAGACATTTAAAAAATTGGGCACGTCTCCAGCCAATTCCCAACACTCACACTTCCACCTTTCAATTGCATGTTCCAGTCAAGGGGTGCAAGTGCATAGGTGCCCCCATCCTCAAATGCAGAAGTTGACCATGCCCCTTTTGCACTCTTGATACACACTGCACCCAAGTTTTTTTTTAAGTATCACAAACAGTGCATGCTTTGTAGTTGATGACGCAATGCTGTGGGATTGGGCCACCAATACTCACACTGCACCCTAAGGTTCTCTGTTAAGTGCACTTGGAGTAAGTGCACAGTAAGGCTTTGAGTGTGTAGTACACAAGGGTGCAAATAATTGTCAAATTGGCACAGCGATCGTTGAGTCATTGACCACAATTCATGCTGGGAAGCTGGTCACTCACTGTGCTACTTAAGATAAAATAAAAAAAACTAACAAATTTTCAAACAAACAACCAATTATTTGAAATAAATGTACATTTACTGCTGCTTTGTCTACAACAGTCAGAGGATCAATTAACCATCCTAAAATGAACTACTTTCATTAGAAAATATAAATTCAGAAAAGGCACTT